ATTCGTTTCAATAATTGTATTAATTTATTGCATACAGCCGGTATAGGAATGTGTTTGCCAAACCGGATATATGCATATTTAATATTCATCGCATGTAGCTAATGCCGGGTGAAAAATTTTCCATTTACTATTAGTTATGTATCGTAAGCCATTGTACCTAACTTCTGCGAATTGTTCGAGCTTGTAGATTAACTCCTACGAGGTGTTTAAAATGAAGTCGATAAAACATGACGATTGTTGCATTCAAGAAACAAAATGTATGTAAAAAGAAAATTATAAAGAATTTTTTAGTAGATTTACAACAACCATGCCCATTCGTGGTCATATTAATCTATGAGTTCTTGACATTTAACACGAGAACCTAATTTTCTTTGTTTGGAAGAATAAATAAAAAGAACCCCATCGAAGAATATCTCTTTTTTGTGTTTTAAAAACAAACTTAACCAAGTATAGGATTTGTAATGAATACGATTGCGAATGATATTTCGTAGGATTATTGTGCTGATACTTAAATACTTACTTAAGTAAATACTTATGTCTTCGTTTGAGGATTAACAGAAGGTATAGAAATGGTAAGAGCTTTGACATGGTCGTGTCTCAAAGTAGTAGTACAATAGCCAAAGGAAGAGAGAACGAGCAGGGACGTTCCGCAGAAATTACGTACGAATGGAGGGAGGACGAGAGATGCATTGTACCTTTACGACACGATTCTATATTCTATCTGTTAGACGAACGTATCACAGTCTCTAACATTTTCCATTATAATAATATAATTTCGTTGTAGTCAACTTGAGAGTTTCTCTCTTTACGTGGACGAGTTATGCAATCTTAATCGAAGACAGTTGTTAAAAGGCCTTATCGTTGAGATATTTTCAAAAATACGATATTGTTGCAACATTTTTTTTATAATTAAATCATTCCTACATAAATATACATTTTAAAGGATGTTATTTTGAAAATACTTTTATTGGAAAACGTCGTAATCATTTATAATTATAAAATAATGTTTATAATCGTGAAATATAAGTACGATAAATTCAATTTAAATCTAGAAAATTGTGATGTATATATTATCTATATGCAGGATATGTTTGGTATCCGATGCGAGAATGAATTATATAGATAAATTATATATCGTATAGGTATATATTTATAAGATAAATAATGCATGTACACAGATGCATGGAGATGCGTATAAACATAGTATAATGATGCATATATTTAGCATATCTTTATCAACGAAAGAAACATTTGAGTGTTCGTGATAAATGTTATAGGTATCCTGTTTATGTTGCATACTTATATTTTTTACCTGTGCATAAAACTAACGAGCCATCGATAATCCATTTAAATAGATCCGAATTGTGTAAAGATTGTTCATAGATTCTAGCATACAAAAACCATTGTCCTCAATTCAAAACATGATAGAAAAGTTAATGGGCCAACTCAAAAGTTTTTTAAGTTGAAAGAGACCAAATCCTAACATTGTCAAATATTTTTTTTCTTTTCTTTAGTTTTCTTTCTTCCTATCGATGGGTATATTTCTTGGCATGATTTATAGGGAAATAACAAGCTCTTGAAAAATGTATTCTCAATAATATAAGGTAAACCTTGTCCTGGACAAAGTTCGTAAAAGAGTTATATGTTAAATAATATACAAATTAAATTAAAGAAAAGAGAAAAAGGAGTTGATTTTTGATATTTGTTTGCTCTCTTTCTCTCTTTTAGAAAATCGACTCTCGATAACGAGACATTATGGAGGAAGTTGAGATAAAGGCGGAAGGACGAATAGATAAGACGATAAAAAGAGGAAGAACAAGGTTGGAGAGACCGCATGTGCTTTCCACACACGTGTGTATGTTTCTGTGGCAGTGTGTGTTCATATGTATGTGTAAGAGGGAGAGAGAGAGAGAGAGAGAGAGAGAGAGAGAGAGAGAGAGAGAGAGAGAGAACGATGGAATCATAAAATCGAGCGGCAGGAGGGCGACGGAACGAGCAGCGATGCCGGTGACAGCTTCTCCTCGCCCTCCTCCTCCACCTCCTCCTCTTCCTCCCCCCGTCGCTATTAGTCACCGAACGCCGAATACCATTGAAAGTTCGAAACCGCACGTTCGCGACCCAATTTCTACGCGCAGTCAGCTGTTCCGTTCATTCAAACCTTGCTAGGACCGGCGACCACGAATTAATCTAACAAAACAAAAAATAGTAAAGGAAGGAAGAAATATAGAAAGAAATATGGAGAAGTGTGAAGAGAGTTATCATCGGTGTAGTAATGTGTCACGCGAGTAGGGAGGATTATTTATGTTCAAAGAAACATATTGATCAGGAGGATAAGAAAGTAAGCGTTCACAATTTAATTCGTTACAACGTTGTTACACTGGCGATTAAATGTCGACGAATAACTTACGAAAAGCTATTATTTGGCACATTCTTCTTCTATTCTTTTCTTCTTCTCGGAACAGGACATGCAATTTTATTGCTAGAGCTATCGGATTTGAATTTTTCCTCTTAAAAATAAGAAAATTCGATGTACTCGCGATCGTAGGAGAAATAAAAAAAAGATAAGAATAAGAATAAGAATAAGAATAAGAATAAGAATAAGAATAAGAAGAAGAAGAAGAAGAAGAAGAAGAAGAAGAAGAGGAAGCGGAAGAGGAAGAGGAAGAAGCAGCAGAGGAGAAGGTCTCGTCATCGCGTTCCTTTTCGTCCCTCTTCATGTTCATTCGGCGACGGTCTCGTTGGTAGTGGTGGTGTAGCGATGGCGGAGGTCTAGCTCGTTCACGGTCGTGTCACCGGAGGCGCTAGTATCAGCATTGGCGGCTTGATTCAGCGGCGGCGGCGGCGGCTCGTCAGTGAGCGGTCGGTAGGCGGAGTCACAGAGGCGAGAGGGGGACGCATTGGTCGCGTTGACTGGGCGTGGTCGGGCTACCTCCCACTCCTCGTCGTTAAGCGCTGCGCTGATTGACAGTTGGTGAACGACTGCGGACGGCGCAGGATCTGAAACACGCTAGTAGGCGCCCAGCTCTCTTCTCTCGTTCGTTCCTTCGTTCGTTCTCTCTCTCTCTCTCTCTTGCACGCGTCATACAATCGTGAAGTGGCGGTGGGGTGGTAGTAGTAGTAGTAGTAGTAGTAGTGGTGGATTGGTGGCTTTTTCGTGGGGGAAACTGAACACACGCATTATATATACTAGTATACGCATACAGTCATGGGTGCACACCGATAGACACAGAGAGATAGGAAGAAAGAGGGATAGGGAGAGAGAGAGAGAGAGAGTAAAGAAGAGAAGAGAGAGAGAGAGAGAGAGAGAGAGAGAGAGAGAGAGAGAGAGAGTGAGGGAGAGTGAGTGAGATTCAGGAGCGTATAGCGTGTCTCCTCCTCCTCACCGCCTTCCATAAGTCGGGTATAGAGAGAGCCGGGTGAAAGAAGCAGTGGTGGTCGTTACGGTAGGAGGGCCTCTCTTCCCGTACCGGTTCCTCAGTAATCGCCGCGAGGAGAAACGCGCCGCTTTCGATTCCTCTCTTACTCTCTTCTTCTATATCCGTTTTAAACGCAAGACATCGGCAACGCGATATCTCGGCGCCTCGTGCTTCTACTACCCTACAGTGTGTTATCATCCTCGTGTTGTTATCGTTATCGCGATCCTCGCGGCGAGTCGTCGCGTTTAAACGTAGGAGGAGGAGGTTAACGCGTGCTCTCGTGTCGCCGCGTCGAATCCTCAACGTCTCCGTCTGTTTGTTCGTTCGTTGATTCGTTCGTCGTACGTTCGTTGGTTCGTTCGTTTATTCGTTCGTAAGTCTTGTAGCTGCCGCCGGCGGCGTCCTGCCTGGCCGTCTCTGCGCGCCATCACCGTCGCCGCTGCCGCCAGTTCGAGTTCGCGCGCGGTAGAAGATGTAACTCCGTTATTTTTCGCTCCTCTCTCTTTCTGTCCTATCTTCCTTCCTTCTTCTTATTTCTAAATCGTGTTGTTATTATAAATATACGATCGTGCCACTATTATATGTTACACGTACAAGTGAAGGAAAAATTTGTAAAACAGAGGATATTTCTATTTGTGTTTGGATGTGATTAAACGTATATATGTATATATATATATATAAACATATATATATGTATGTATGTATGTATGTATGTATATATATGCACCCACACTCATAGGATATATATATTTATTTGATAACGAACGATCACGCGCAACCGTGCGCTCTCTCTCTTTTCGCGTGAATAAATTTGGAAAAAGAAAGAGAGAGAGTAAGATAGAAAGAAAGAGGGAGAGTAGTAATAGTAGTAGTAGTAGTATTATTAGTATCAAGTGTGTTTTAAAGAGTGTGAACGATTTGGGTCCTCGGTGATGATATCTCGTGTTGTTACTCTTGTGAACGTTTGAAAATCGTGAGTGGATATTAATAAACGCGCGCGCGCGCGTGCGCGCACACACATATACGTATATACGCAGATCCTACGTAAACACATACGAAAAGAGCATAAGGATTATATACGTTTTTTGTTAAATATTAATATATCGTGATTGGATTGAATTCTATTGGGATTTCGGCCGGCCTCGTCGAGGAGGCGAAGATATGCTGGGAGACTGACACCCGCGAGAGAGACAGGACGGACATCTCTCTATCTTCCTTTCTCTCTCTCAATCGTCGGAAACGGAGAGCCCGGTGGGAGATTACGATGACGATTATAATGATGATTATGTTGAGGAGATGCCACGCGCGTCCTATCATCGTCCTACACGTAGCAGATTTTCTTCTTCATCTCCCAAGAATTTTCTCGCTTCGCTGCTGACGCTTAACGATCGCCCATCTTCTTGGAATAATCTTCCTTGAATTTTAAACAAATATTTATATATATATATATATATATATGTATACACATATATGTATACGCACACACATATAAA